ATGAGGCCAAGGTGAAGTTGTCCAACAGGGTTGTTCGCGTAAGGACTTTTGGCCTAGCAGCTGATCGAATCACTAAAGTCCAAACTGCTGCTAAACTCCTGCAGAATTCAGAAAGTCAACTAGCAGTGTGGGGGGGGGAACAGCTGCAAGAGACTACAGCAAAATAGCAAAGTCAATGAGTCAAGGAAGGTAGCCCTCTCATGTTCTTCCAAGAGGAAAGCCAAGTGAAACCGATTGACTCGACGCTCTATGATGTCTTGAACGCTGCAATGGCGGGCCAACATTCTTTGCCGAGCGAGCAATTTGTTGCTTGCACAATTGCCGAGCAAGATGTGCGGAAACTGGTTTCATACATGTCTTGCACGGAGAAACTCCAGGCCAATCACAGAGCAATGACAGAGCGACCACCAGCAAATGCGCAATCAGCGGAATCGAGTAGGACGCCATAAACCATAAGGCATATATAGCAGGCACAACGGCAATTCTCTTTTCCTCTTGCTCATGTTCAGAGACATGAGAATTACAAAGCATATGCTGATGGATGCGCAGACGGACAAACTAGGTCCAGGCAAGCCAATTCAGCCTCGCCAAAAGTTTGTGTGCGTGTGCCTCAGCCTCAAGCCTTCAGCACACCATCCTTTGGCAACAGCTCATTTCAAGGTAGAGTTGAAGATGTCCGTGCAGGAGCAGTGAATCTTCACAACCTTAGAAAGCCTTAGACTTGGTCTTTGTCAGATTCCGAGGAATAGACGACACAATGTTCCCCAAACGAAGCAGCACTATAGCCAAGCTTTGAGCGCATGTCAGCGCTTTGGCAATGCCTGAAGCAATCCATGCGCCCAGGGCTGTTCCGCATTATGGGGTTACACTTTGGACGCACAAGTTGATGCTGCCGGGAGTCTGACAACTTCTTGGTTGCGTATGCCGTCAATTTACAGTACACAGTATGTGGGAAAGGGGCCTGAGAGGGATCTTGGATCTAGAGTTTTGACGGCGGATGCCGTAATAAGAAAGACGGCACATCATTCAGGGCCAATGACAGCACGACCAGTTCGGATGGAAGCGTCATGCTGGATCTGGGGGCGGCAGGCAGCCCGCAAACCCAGACTCAGAAAACCCGTGATAGTATATAGGATTTCCAACCCTGCTGTAAGCCCACACGTCCCGCTTATGCTGTAGGCTTGGTTCAGCGCACTTTTTGGCCCTTTTGCCGATATTGCCTGATGATACACCCAAACAAAGATGTTTTACGAATGCCGTTGCGCATATACTACACCAGCCATGGCATGATGATATTGACATTAGATATCATTTTATCTTCTATAGATACTATCTAGTCGATCGTGTTAATATCGTGCAGCACAGGTATCTACCCATTTTGTTTCAGGTCCATGAACAATGTTGGCCTTTGCTTCGGCAGAGGCTCTCACAGAGTTGTTTATCCTCAAATCCCTTGCTGTTCTTGCTGTCTGGCTTTTGGAGCAACAAGCCCGTCACTTTGCGCTAGTGATTCGCAAGGGAGGTGCGCCCGTGTGCATTCGGGGCAAGAATCGGTAGGATTGAGATGCAAGTTCTGTGGCTTCGAAGCAGCCGAAGACCTTAGCCACTTTATCAGGCAGATTGATGAACAAGGTTGGCATGGGCACTAGCCCTCTCTCTCTTTGAGAGACTGGGCTTTTGTCGTTTGTGCATCAGAGTGCACAAATTACTAGTATCACAAAATATGGCCAGGTACAGCACAGTGCTGTATGGGCATGCAGGGTGTGGAAAGTGTGGCCAGCGGGCGTGAATGTGGATAGACTCCCAGCTTGCCAGGACAAACTCACCATATCACCGTGTTTGGCTGGTCTGATTTTTCCCTGAGGGCATGTTGGATGCCCATGATTTTTGCAGCGCTGAATGATGTTCAAGCTTTAGTGCCTAGACTAGTTCCCAAGATTCAGCAAGGCTTGTTGGCAAAGGGTTTGCCAGCCGCAACCGTGCATCGGGTATGAGCAGCTCAGTAAAGTAAAGCCAGCCTTGCTTGCTGTTGCATGCGCCTTGGATGCTCCTTAGTGTGGCTAGAGAGCAGCAGAACCATGAGAAGGCCGAGACTAGGCTAAGCAAATCAAGTTGGTTGAACATTTGGGCAGGAAGCAGCAGAGACTTTCTTTTAGTGCAGGCGCTTTAGTCACTAGAGCCACTAGATCTGGCAACCTTGGTGGGCCCATAGCCTTCACTTGCATCACTTGTAACACGGTCATGAATTCTTTGTGCCTTTGGAATTTAACCTAGTTGTATCTTCAAAGGTCTCGTCCAGGCCAAGATGCACAAAGCGGCTGAAGAGGGGCTGGAACTCTTTGGGCATCGTGGGCTCCACTGCTGCCACTGCTGCAGTTGCATTGTTTGCCTTCATTGTTTACCCAAACATTTGCAAGCAAGCTCGAATGAATAAGTTTGGGGTGCGGCGCTCCGAAGGCATTTCTGATGCACCGTCTATGGCTTTCATGGGTCCTGTTAGCCTTTCGACCTTCAAATGCACCAGCGACTTGAGGAGCAGGATAGCAAAGTCCTAGCGATGCCTTAGAGAGGAAAAGTGCGACTCTAAAGGAGGTTGGTTCCAGGCACTTGCCATATCCTGCCATCACTTGCGTCGTTTTCATCCTTTATGCGTACCATACCTCATCACACGGGGGTTTTGTAACGATATTGTTTCGATCTTTTGTCAGTTGCAATTTCATGGTCTTGATTGTTGTGGTTGTTTCGGCAGCCCTTGGGTGGAAGCAGCAGACCAATACCGCCAAAAGCCAATGCTTGCAGACAACTGGTGCAATTATCTCAGGAAATGTATGGAAATGTAATTTCATCATATTTGATGTTTGTTTATTTGCTTTCAAGGTTTGCTTCCAATGACTGCATGACTAGAGCAACTGGGCCTTCTGTCGGGCAACTCGGCCCACAAACGCAATCAATGCAGCTGAGCTATTGCAACCCCGGCCGGGCGTCCTTCCCATGCTCCCAAGAACCTTTTTTTTCTAGGCCAGCACCTAGTTGTGATGCCTCCAGCATACCTGAACGACTTCCACTGGAGAATCTTACCATATCTTACCCTTTTTGGAGCCACGTGTTTTTCTAAAATTTTTCTAAAAGGTCAACGGTACCATTTGTCTATTTGGTTCTCGGTGCGGTTTCGAGGCAGCTGTTGGGAATGTTGGCCAACTTGTTTCAGGTGGATTGATGAGGTTGAATTATCGCTGGTATTGGTGCTCATTCCTGCACATCTTCGGTGGGCCAATCGAAACTGCTGCTGATACTATATTTATAAGCAGGTACAGATGCAACAACTGAATTCGCGTTTTGGTTCATATTCCACACAAAAATCGGGTTCGTGCATTGATTTGTGCATACTGTACATATTTGATATTAGTGATCTCCAGAGCCCAACCTGTTGGTTCCAATCCACCCTGCTTTGACCTTAACATCCATACAGATCAACGTCCATCACTGACATCGAGTTTGCATTCCAATTCTCGCCTTGGCAAACTTGTGCGCACGCAAGTTGTACATGTCCATAATTTCATATATGTCGATCTCTATATGTGAATGGATGAATCTTGTGGCTTACTTACTTGCATGCACTCAAAACGACCTGCAAAGAGGAAAACCATTTGGGACAGCATTGATTTCCCCCAACCACGACCACCGCAGGACATTTTGGGAGAGACAGCTTTTGACACATACGTTTCAAAAAACACACGTACAGATTTTTCGCCTATCGGCATGTGCGGCGAATCGGAGCCTCCCTTGGAGCCCGTGGTCAGACACTTGGGCTGCGAGTGTCATCCAAGGCGTTGTGAGCTTGGCACTGAGGACAGCGATGGTGAGGCGTCCCTTTTTGGCTCTCAGGACTCAGGTTTTGATTATATAGTTTTTGTTTGTTCATTTGAAAAGCTGAAATTACCGTTGAAGTTTAATGCTCGGCGAAAAGTCACAGGTTGAAGCATACGCACAAGAAGCCAACCTTTCCGATGAAGATTTTGGTGAGGCACTCTCCAGATCATTCCGTTTTGAATAAAACCCATGACAGGTCCGAACTGGGTTCAATTTCAAACATAGGCACATCCAGCAAAAGGGTTGAACACAAATAGTTGTTGATTTCGCACGTTGCTGTTCGTGCCACTGTGCAGGTCCTTTCTCCCTTTGGTCCCGAGACATTCAAAAGTGCTGCTGAGTGCTGGGTGTGTCGCTTACGACAGCAAAATCACATGGCGGAAGAAAGAATTGCCATACTGGCCACACTATATAAAACATGATAAGATCTTATAAGACTATATAACAAATTTGATCAAATCTGGTTGTCAACAATGCTTGGAGCAAATCATGCTCTTGTGGATCGGTGTTTTTCCCCTTACATAGGTTGTTCTTTCTAACCTGTTTGTCCAGTGTAGTAGAGATATTTTGCCGGTGCCCTTGTTTAGTTGTGGATTCCCGGAATTTGTAAGGCACATGCAGAGACCACTCATGGTTTTTCTTTGCATGAGTTGAGGAGGACGGGAAGGGCCGGACAGGTTAAAGTCAGCTAACATTTTTTTCCATGCGCGGTTCATCAGATGTGGTTGGATGAAGTTGGATCAATGTGTGAAGCCTTGTTGCGTAGCCAGGACTCTTGGGGCAGACGTTCAAATCTAAGATGGAGTTCCTGGAACGCCTAAAGTATGAAATGTATGGGTCGAGTTGAATGTGGAGCTAAGGTTTGGTCTGACTACCATCGGATACGGCTCGTAAATCATTTCAGGACGATGGCTTTGAGCATCCATTGTGATTTGTGCCTGAAGTTTGAGGCATCAAGTTCTGTGAGAATGAACTTCAAACTCGGCCGTTAGGCTCAGACACTTTCGATCACAGAAAGAAGGGGCTCTATGGGACTATAATGGACACCCCCCAAGCACAAGATGGAACACTAACTCCGACTCCGCACGTTGGACCGCCATTTCCAGCGTTTGCCGCTTCGCTTGGGCCGGATGTTGCCCCCAAGGCAGGTGACTGCTCAAGATTCTTAAAATTAAAGCATTTCCTGGGGGATGGTGACAACATGTGACCCTCTTTGGTCTCTCTTTGTATGCTCAATGCGCAGCTTCAAAGTGAACGGTTTGAGTTTGACATCTTTGTCCCACGTCCAAGAGACAATACAGTAATTAACCTCCAGCGGTTGGAATTCTCGACGTCCTCAACATCTGGTCAAGGCAAAGTGACGATGACACTGCTTTTGAAGAGCTGGCAAAGCAGACGCCACTAGACAGGTTCCAGAGGTGCGCTGCCATGTTTTGCAAGGGACGATTGACAGTCGGCGGTTGTCAAAGACAAGAATATGTATATAATATATATATATATGTGCTATCCCTTCGGGAATCCCAATGAGGAAACCAAGTCCAGCCAGGCCGGTGTCAGCCAATCAGAGCCATTTTCTTGTAGAGCACAGGTTTTTCAACCATTCAGCTTTTGTGTATACCATGGACTCCTCGTCAGTATCGGCACGTGGCCCATGCAACAAGGCTCATGCAGAAGGATTCGCGTCGCTATGAGATGCTGGTTCTTGCAGTGGAGGTGAGTTGACAATTTCACAGAAATAAATGATGCAGCCGAAAGAATCAAGCCGTCTTCGGGCCAAGCTGGAAATGTGAGGCGGCCTATCTCATCATGTATATTGCATTCTTCATCTTAACAGGAGACCTTGCCTCTACTGTCGGTACATCGATCATCGCATGGTTTGCAGGACTAGAGAAGCCACAGAAAGGTGGTGCTCCCCCATCCAAAGACTTCTACGAAAGCTGCGCAACTTGTCAATCGCGTGCATGAATGCTTGGAAAGTTGCACTGTGCCGTCCAAGGTAGACAGTCTATGGCAGAACGGAGAAATGCGACTGGAAACTAGAGCTGACGAACTCCATTTGCGAAAGAGGCACATGGATGCAGATGGTACGTTTCGTGCTCGCGCAAGAAGGCTTTGTAGAGGTGGGATTCCTTCAGGCTTTGGATAGATGCAGGTCCAGACATAGCATCAAAGGATTCTTGACCAGAACTTGACACTTCTTTGTTGTTACTCTTGTGGCATCCAGCTGCAGCTGCGCAGGCTGCATGAAAGCCTGGAAATGGCTCGCTTGTGTGACGAGGATTTGATCAAAACCGACACAGCTGATTTCTTTCTGTCTGACACAGAGCTGCAACAGGCGTCAACCTTTCCCGTCAGCCTCAAGTTGTCCTTGTGATCTCTGGGATTGGGACCCTCAGACAGCTCCACACTTAAGGAACGTCCCCTGAGCCATTTCATCCCTGGCTTGGTGGTGGCCCTGCGCTTTTGGAAACTCTTTGGCCTCCGCTTGCTGTGCCGACGGGTCCACATAGCTCCGCACCACTGCTGGGCCTTGGACACGGCCTTCCAAACCATCGTCCTTTGCTGGTGCGCCCACATCCATTTAGAAATGTTGGGCAGTGGTGTTTGGAGGTTGTGTGAAGAAGGTCGAAGTGAACCAATGTTGTAATAAGAACCTGGAAGGTACGGCTTCATGGCAGGACCCGTGCTCATATTGCACTGTAGCCACATGTAGAAAGTAGATGGACAGATCTGAATCTTGACGAGAGACTGGAGGACTCTTCTCAACCTTGAACTTGCTGAAAGTAGACGACAACAAATTTGGCAAAGCCCTCTTCATAGGCTGATTCCTCAGGCTGTTGAACACCCACTGACAGTTTCTCAGAGTGTTGAATAGCTGCAGGTGTTTTGAGCCGTGAACCTATGTGGATTGACTATATAAATATTGCATAACATATCATAACATTGCCATTGTTGAGGATTTCTTTTGCTGGGTCTTGTTTGTGTTTTTCACGTTTGTCCTGGCGTGATTTGCCAAGGACCCAGTATTTATGTGTTTCTGCTCACGTCTCTTTGCCTCATGGTGCTAGACCAGTGGCAGACCTTGATCGCATCAAGTGCATCTTGTAGCTCCTCGGGTGCAGATTGAGTGAGCGCAGTTCACGGCAGCTGGTTACCAGCTAACCGTTAGCTTCTCATTGCTTTTGTTTGTAGCGTCTTGGCACCCTCTGCGTGTCAAAGGGGCTTGGCCGCTTTTGGCTCGAAGTTTGAGGCTTTTTCGTCATTCCTCAGATGGTTGGTGGCCTAAGTGTGCACCCTCGGGGTTTCAGCCATTTGATGCTTTCTACCCGAAGGCAAGTCGGATCCACGCGAACCAGACCAGATCACTTGGGAGAACTAAGGTGGCGATCATCCGCGTCTTCGATCACAAAGGACCACTTCTTGCTCTGCTTCTGGACTCCATGAATCAGTCCTTGTCTTAGACTCGTCGGTTGAAGCACTTCCCACATTCATGCATTTTGTATATTTGTCATTATTTGTCCAGGTTTGCTTTGATCATTGGCGTGGTAGCGCTCAGTGTGGCCAGGTTGGCAGCTGAGACATGGGCGGACCTGGATAGGATCCACATGTCATTGTATGTGCACACCTGTGGGTTCACATCAGACATATTGCAATTATACATCTGCATTCTGTGTTTGCATATGTTTTGGCTTGGCAAGAGGTCAAAACTAAAATTATTCCAGCGTAGACACCATACATTTTATGCATTTACAGTATGAAGTAAGCCACAGAGGCGAACGGTCAAACATTCAACGGCTCGAACCGTTCCAACGCCCAGTGATCAACTCAGACCTTCTGGGCTTGTTTCAGCTCTTGGCTCAATTGGCCCAAGGTCAGGACCGGCAACTCAGACAAAAGAATTGAACATATGCTAATCTACTGAACATGCTGAGTTGTACTAAAATGTGGCTTTATCATGCTGTGATTAAAAGATGTCTCTTTGCTTGTCTCCCTTCTTAGATGCTCTTGGCACAATTCAAGTTACTGTGTTGCTGACCTATAGAAGCCGTTTATGGAATGCCTGTATAATGCTCCAAGAAGCGATCCGTGACCGCAATTCCAAGATATCACCATAAGGTTATTTTAAAGCAACGACAAGGAGGTGAAGGCTTTATCTTTATAAAGGGCTAACGCCCTGGTGCCGCCGACCCCCTTTTTGGGGGGCAAGGATCGAGAAGGTCTTTGAAAGCTCGAGCGCCCGGAGGTCGCATTTGAAGCTGCCGCCTGGAAGGCACGCCATGCGGAGCGACGTGTCTGCAGGGACTGCGCAGGCAAAGTCAAAGGTCAGTGGCTGTGTGCAGGGTGCACGGAGCGTAAGGCGCGGAAGGGGTTCAGCGCGTGGATGCGGCGGCGGCGCCGACATGGAACGCAGCTTTGCAACGATTGCATCCGGCTTGTGGACCGCAAGAACGCAAACGGCAGGCTCGCGACGCCACGAATGCATCTTGCCCGGGAACAGAAGACCGCGCTCGTGGCGGAAGTCCGCACGCTGATCCAGAGGCAGCTCGGGGAAGGAGCCACGCATGACGCATGCCCGATGGTGACAAAGCCACCCAACGCGAAGAAACGCATGCACCGGAAGCATCGGTCAGTGCCACCACGCCACGCGTGACGCGGCCAGACTGTAAGTAAACGTGCCCTTTCTGCAACCAAGAAGTCCGGAGCACAGTGTCAAGCGGGCAGGTCAACCGCAAACGTGTCTGCGGCAAATGGTTTCGTAGCAAACGACGAGGTCGTTGCCCATGCCCCCGCTGCGGCACGACGGTGTTTTCGACGGCCGCCCGTGGATGCACCCAAAAGAAGCACAAAACGCCACCGCCGGCAAGCCTTGGTGAGCCCCAGGCAGGCAGGGAGCGACCATTGCCAGTGCCTGGCGTTGCCTTCGAAATGCGTTAGAAAGAGTGTGGGGGACGACCCCGACAAGCACCAGCCCTGGCCAGCCACCGTCCTTTTCCTTTGGTAGCTGCCAAAAGCTGGTTATGGCCGGCTGCTGCTGGACCACGCCAGTGTCGCCACACCAAAACACCCTGGCCCTGAAGGTTTCAACGGAGCAGGGAGCGACCCTTGCCACTGCCTGACGTCGCCTGCGAAACACTATAGAAAGAGGTGTCTAATTCGAAACGCCATAGAGAGAGGTGTCTAACACGAGAGCCAGGGACCAGGACAAGCCCCAGGTAGCTTCCAAAACCTGCCTATGGCCGGCTGCCCCTGGACCACGCCAAAACGTCGGCGCCGCCACACCGAAACATACTGGCCACAAGTGGAGACAAGTGTAAAAACATGAAGGCTAGTGTTTCCAGAGTGAGGTTCCATTGAGCACAGGGAGGCTCAATCAAAAAACATAGTTTCCATTGAGCAACGAGAGATTCGATTTAGAGAAGAAGGGCGCTCTCTAGACAAGACCTCACATGCGAGTTTACATGTGCATCTTTTTATTGTATGTATTTTGGCATATTTTGGCTATTTTTGAGCTGTTGTGTGGTGTACTTTGCATATTTCTGGTGTACACTTGCATGTTCTGTTGAGTAGGTAGGTCGTCCTTGCGGGGCTCATTTTCCCATGGTTTCTGAGAGGTGTCCGCGACACATGGTTTTTGATTTCAGTCTAGCGGCTGCAGAAAGGCCAATATGGACTCTGGATATCGATACTGCAGCAGAACTGGCACCACGAAGCTGAAATATTGATATCCTATACAATACTCATGAATTACATCAAGGACTCTTGCTATTTTTGATCTGTTTGTTATATTTTTTGTTTTGGCGCAAAGGCCTGGGCATTGGAGGTTCACATGTCGGAATTTCCGCCTGCCAAGGTGGTCTGCATGGCGAGACAAACAACTAGACTTTCGACGAGAGGACTGAGAGCCAGACTGAACTTGCAAGTATGTGTTAGTGAACATGCTATGGTAGCACGAAGTCAGACATGCGAGGTTCCGCATCCGTCGGCCGGTAATAATCCTGCCCAAGCCTTCTTGAGAGCGGCGTGGTGGAAACCACGAGTGTGAACCGCATGGGCCTCATGACCGCTTTGCGCGGCGTGCAAATCACACGGTCGGGAAGGGGAAAAACATTTCACGGTCCTTTCAGTTCCATTGACTCAGGCCACGGGCCACATGGGTGAGGAACGCGCAAGTCATCAGCAAGTGTTCGGCGGCTGTTGGGAAGCGTCGCCTGGTGTCCAGCAAGGCGCGTGTGGTGCACCATTGGTACGATCTCGCGTTGAAGGGGTGGCTGCGTGTCTTCCTGCTTCCTCCTCACGTTCTTCCTTCCTCCTCTGGCTCCACGTTTTCCAATCGTTGGCGCTTGGCCACCTGTCAAGTCCAGCAGTCGAGTGACTCCACGGCTGCGAAGTGACGCCATGGATTTCTTGACTACAATGCTTGTTGGTGTCCTGGTCACAGGTGATGCGGCGCACATCGGAGAAGCTTGGATTTGTGTCCCATCAGAAGCCGGGCCCTTCCAGATGATTTTGATGTTTTTGACGAGATCTGAGGCTTTGGCATCTCTCCGATACACAAAAGCTGCTGCCAAAGTAGCGACAAAGAAGTCCACATCGAAGACAGCGGATGATGGCCAGTCAAGTGGTTGCTCTTTTCTGCCGTTCTTCTTCAACGCGTTTGGAACCTTCGAGATGTAGTGAAGAAAGTAGGGCAAGAAGGCGGTCCAAGCAACCACGGTGCAACCCCAATGCTTCATGAGCGGCGGCTCCACCTTCTTGGGCTGTTTCGCTCTTATAACGCAGCTCGATCTTTCGAAGCACTGCATGGCGACGCCCGACCAGACTCAAACGTTCTGGAGCAACAACATGTTGGTTGTTGTTGTTGTTGTTGAACTCTTCCGACAATCATCCTCGGCCTTCATTGGTCAGAAGCTAGCTGGAGGGACAGCACTGCGCGCGCAGGTTTTCGCGTGCGCTCACAACTGGCGCAGCTGTAGTTCTGGGCAACTTGGGGAACAGCATCAGCGGCGCCTCTAGCATGTAGCAAGTCGCACAGCTCCTCAGGTGAGGGGTGGCCAAGGTTGCGATGCAGTTTCTGGGCGACACGAACAGCTTCCTGCTTGTTGGTCGTCGCAAGAGTTGGACCAAGCGACCTTGGTGGGCGCGAGCTGCCTCAACATCACTTGCACAGCCATGGTCCCAAACTTGGGGGTGTTCTTCGGCTGCCGTTGTCACTGAAAAAACTGAGGCCATTGCAGGTTGACAGTCCGCAAAATACTTCGCTCGAAGTCGGCCACCATTCATGGCATGTGGCCTTCCGAGCGACAGTCGTGTGACTTGTTGCAGGTCAGGCTCAGAGCGTTTTTGGATGTGGTGAGGGTGCTGTAGGACGAGATATGGCCAGATGCTGGACAGTTGGCTGCCACATGGCCTGACTGAGCCTCCACATCGAAGGCATCGGGTTGCAACTGAAGTTGAGCACGTGCATCCGGTGCCTTGCCTCCAGTGCGTGGCGGGTAGCGAACGGTGGGTGAGCTGGAGCGACCCTTCTTGGTGCCCTTGCCTTTCCAATGCCTTTGGTTGAGCGGGTTGGTGATGAGGTCTGAGGGTTTTTGTCATCCTGCAGGGCCCCTGTTCAATTTCAAGTCTGCGAACCTTCTCCTTCCATCCAAGTATGTGGCATAGGCTGAGTCATACACATCGATGTCCCATGACTCTTGAGGCGGCCACGAAACCTTCTTCCTCCTGCTCAGGCTCTTCAACCTGAAAGTAGCCGGCGTCATTGTCAAAGCTGGACTCACCATCTTGCCAGGACTGGATAGGGTCATGCTCATAGAGGTTGTGGCGCTCCTTCTCCCCATGGAAACCATCTTCATCTTCCCAGCCTTCGTCAGCTAGGTGGGCTCTTTGTCCTTTGCCGCGGCCGAAGGGTTTTCTGTCGGAGATGACTGCGGCCTTGTGATCCTGCCCAAGGATCAAGTAAAGTGCTTCTGGGACTTTGTTGCGCTCAAGCCCAGGTGCCTGTGTGAGCGCCATTTGACGCGGCTCCTTGGTGACGTTGGCCTTCTTCAAGAGGAACCAACCAAGCATGACTGAAGGCAGCTTGACACCATGAGCCTGTACCTTACAGAACTTCTCCTCAAACTCACTGCAAGACTCCAAGAGCGTCGAACCTGGCTTCCGGCTTCCGGACGCAATGAGTGACGACGTTCTCAGTTCTCAAAGTCCGCTGTCGTAGGCAAAAGCTTTGTCCAGAAGCTCTAGAATCTAGAACCTTCTCCAGGTTGTTGCGGCCAAAATCCTCAACAACTTTCCAAGCTGCTCCTTCAAGATTCCCGATGAGATTGTGAACGCTCTCACCAGTCCGTTTCCGCAGCTTCATCTTCAAGTGGTAGGTGTTGATGCGCTTCCTCCGATCAGAGCTCCGCTACCATGCAAATGCTATGGTAGCACGAAGTCGGACACGCGAGGTTCCGGACCGTCGAAAAGGAAACCCGCCCACGAAGTCAGGCCTTTTTCCGCAACCGTGTGGGTAAGACCCCGCCCTTCTTGAGAGCGGCGTAGTGGAAAATACAAGTGTGAGCCGAACGGACCTCATGACCGCTTCGCATGGCACGCAAATCACAGTTAGTTTTGGCTTTGGGTAGCCTTGTTTTATAAAACGGATGGACATGTTTTTGGCTTGATTTCGCTTATGGGTTTTGGGTCAGCTACACAACGTGGAAGGAGAAACTGAAGACTTTTATCATTGACGAAAAGGCCGGGCTCCCACTGCGTCATGTTTGGGGAAGGTGGGGGTGAACTGATTCATCACTACCAAGCAGACTGTTACGGACTTTCAATGGAGGCGCTGTGATGCGTTCCCTGTGTCCAAGGTGAAGCGCTGCGCTGCAGAGTTGGCAGCACAGGCCGCTCAGGGCGAGACACAGGCTGTGGAAGAAGTGATTCACGCTGCGATGTCGGAAGCCGTTTGTCGTCGTTATTGGGCCAGGTGTCCACAGATGGTCTCAGACCCCAGTTTGAAGTTTGGAGAGTTAATTTTTACTGAGAGTGTTCCTTACTTGGATCAGGTGAATCCTCATACCTTTATCATGCAGGGGCAGCGAATCCGCAGGGCGCCTGCCATTTTATGATGATTGCAAAGCAACTGAAGGACATGGTGGCTGGTTGTTGGGGATTCATAGGGATTCAACATTTCAGATTTTCCATTATAAGTTTGAGATGTGAACTTCGCAGGCCTCAGAATAGAATAGAGGTCTTGGGCATTATTTCATGTTCAATTTGTTTCCAACGTCTCCATCTCTAAGGCCGTGCTGGCATAGTCCTCCTTCAATTGCAGAGACAGCACAGTCCGCACCCGCGAACCCGGATAGGCCATGCTGTGGTGCCGCCTCCGTTGTGCGCATCACATGAACATTGGTCGCTAGGGGCGTTGGCCGCTTTAAGAACAATGTGACACTGGACTGTTTGGTTGCTTTCGAGATGGGAGGCTAGCGTTGCTGAAGGGCACTGCTCGCTGTGATTGCCTACCACTGACTGCAAAGGCAGATGATGGCAATGGGAGTCAGTCAAGCCTTGAAACCTTTAGCTTTGTAGTTTTCCCAGTCCGCCATGAGCAAAAATCTTGTCACTTATGTCACAATGTCAACAGTGTTGAAGTCAGACGCCACATGAAACATTTGGACCTCAAGGTCCTTTGATATTTTGCTGGTCCGGCTTGACCCGACCAGGTCTATTTGGAAGGTCGCCCCGCGGCTGTTCCAGCATCACAGCTGGAGGTGGGTGATCGCTTGCTTTGCAACTTGGTTTGAAATATTTGGACAGCATATTTGGGGTTTCAATTTCATTGAAAGGTGCTTTGATGATCTTTAATTCGCATTCTTTGTGAAAGCTCCGAAACTCACGACATGGAGTTTTTCCCCAATATGTTTGTTTTCGAACGGAGGTTATGATCACCTGGCTGGAAGCATTCGCTTCGTAGATGTGAACGACTGCGGGTGTCTTTGGCAATGGTGACCTTTCTTTGTGCAGCAGTTTCAAGTGAACAAGACATGAATGAAGCGGCCATCAGCCCCTTAAGCCTACGGGGCATCACCGTGTTTGCACAGTTTTATCATGTTTTATCTACATGACATGCTGATCAGGGTTGTATCTGGTGAATGTGAGTGGTCTCACATCACTATGGCAGATGGCACCTCAGTGTGCCTCGGCCATACAGAGATGGCAAACTTGAATTTGAAAGGTGGCAGCTCAGACATGCCCATACCAACAGCTGTAAGTTGGTAGCTGAAGGAGCGTGACTGCTGAACATCCAGTTCGAGTGGTTGGGGAGGTGGACAGTGATGGAAGAGGCGATCTGTGTTCAATTCTGAATTGAAAGAAAACAAAGAGAGGAAAAGGGATCTTTTTAGGCCGCTCTGCCCCCAACCTAATGGCGACGGCCTCCAACCTAAGAGCAACCAAAAGGATCTCAAAAGTGCAGATCTGGTGTCGCTTTGTGTACTTCCACAATCCGGTCCTATTGGACCTTGGAGCATTCTGAGTGTTTTTCTGTTAGGAGCCTTTGGCCTTGGTGGTGGCCAGGTGGTGAATGCCGGGCAGTTGAGGTGGGCTTTGGAAATACCAAACGATTCGAGGAAGTATACTTATACAAAATTGTATGATGAAAGGATTTGCCATTCGGCTTAGGAGGTGTAGGTTCATGTAGGTGTCCTGGCGCATTATGGTGAGATTTGCCCTGCGTGAGTTCTCGGCGTTGGGAATATTACACAGTGCATATCGTGTGAGTTGGAAGACTCTGCAAATTCTATCGCCACCTTTGGTTTCTCGATTTTCTTCAGGCACTTGCACTTGCGATCTGGAATTCTACACTGGCCCATTGTCATTCACAACACACTCTCACTGAGAAGTATAAGAGGGAGTTGGCAAATGATCTAGCAGCCACCATCGAGTCGAAGACATCAAGGCTCACAGAAGCAGCAGCAGCTGCAGCAGCTTCTCTCCAACACGATGCAGATAGAGCCATACAATCACCCCACCCTTTGCAGGGGTGATTTCTCCGGCGTATATAGGGGGCAGCAAAAATTCTTTCAGGGAGTCATTCAGATTGATCGTTTGAACATGACCTGGCAAAGGCAGAAGAGATATTAATTTGGCATTCTATTGTTTCCTGAGGTGTTCTGTGGTAACCTTTTGTCATGCAGGTTCATGTCATGCGGCCCAACCTCCAGAAGGTACCCGGTGCGCTGGGCACAGCAGAGCCTGTGCAAAACAGGTTCTTCAACGTTTGTCTCCAATTGAAGGCTAGCGAACTCCATATCAGATCACTCGGTGCACTGGCTGTGGAAAGGAACATGTGATGGGGCCAAGCAACGCAAGCAAATATTGCATTCGGAGTAGAAGCTCAAAATAGTACGTAAGGTCATGCATTAGCATAAGATCATTAATATGCAATCTGAGCTCCGTAGCGCGGCTCCGAAATACCCGGCAAAAGGCACCCAGCACGCCAGAACAGCAGTATAAAATAGTCAACAAAGCATGTGAAATCAGTTTCTGCTCCAGTTGTTTGCATTGCCCGCGATGCCACTATGCTGTGCTTCTTGTCTCTCCGCGTAGGCTTCCTGAATCGGTCAATTCTCTTACCTTGCCGTCGGTGGCGCCAGATCAACTCTTGCCATATGCTTGGATGTTATCCTCCATGTCTTCACAAGTATCACACCTAAAGAAGGAATGGTTTCGACGCGCTCGCCTTAGTGGGTACCCAGCGCATCCAAGCAGGCGCTCCAACCCTTTTCACTGTTTCAATCTTCCTTTTCAGGTACTTCAGTTGATTGCGTTAGAACCTCTTGATCATCCAGTCTTTGATGATCGATGCCTGACGCGGCACAGTCTTCTTGCGGGCATGCCACACGCTGCGGGGTGTCCATCAGGCAGAAGTTCGTGAGATCCCAGGGCGCAACCCTGCGCCGTCCCTACACCGCTTGCTCAATTTGCAATGAGAAAGATCAGAGGTAAAAGAGCCAGAGTGTGCATCGACCCTTCTTCCAGAGTTCAGCTATGCCAGCTTCCCGCAGGGGACCCGGCGTGCTATCCACCAACCGTTCATGACAATATGCACTGAGAGTGCCATGAGTCCACGCTTCGTCCAGAAGGCTAACAGAGTTTTCATGACGTTTGTCAACTGTTTAAATATATGATGTTTTAAGCCTTGGCAGCGATGTTTCTGAAGGTGCCTACGGGTTGTGGTCAGGTTTAGGTTGTTTGTTTGATGTTTGGGGCAGGTTTTTACACCGTTTGTTGGGGTGAGGGCCCTGGCACATTCCATGCTACATGCCATGTTTGTTGGTGGCCCAAGATGTGAAGAGCAAGTCACATGTGTGTCATACTGCATCATATCGTGTCCACGGTTGACATACTTCTGTCCAGTTTCGTGTATATCACACGGTTGCCGGAATCCGCCTGTCCCTGCTAGGCCCGAGAAGGACATGCTGAAGATCTTGAGACTTGGCGCTGTGCCAGTTCAGACGTTCCATGGCCGCATTGATTGCGCTCGAACAGCCTTGAAAGATGTTCGTTTTGAAGTGGCGAACTTGCAGAAATTCGTTGGTTCGTTTGTCGCTGGATGGCCCCAAACTCCCAGATTTCACCGAGGATGCATCTAAAATCGAGCCAGGAACCGCGCGTGCGAGTGAATCTACATCAGAGTCTGGCCTGCACGGAGTGTCTGCATGGGAAGGTTTGCCAAATCTTGTTGCTGAATTCCAAGGAGTTGGCACTTTGGCTGAGGGCAGAGATCCGGAAACGTTGAGATGTTTTGAGTTCTCTGGGCGGAAATGTTCGTCACCGACTTTCTTGGCACGATAGCACTTCCGAGGCGCTATTCCCTGTTTTGCTCTCAGGGTTCAGGCGCCAACTTTGGAATGGACACAGGGGCTTTTTGCCATACATGTGCTAGCTTGTGTTAGTAATATAGTTATGCGCCGCTGTGCCTGAAGAGCTTACGCCAGCTGCTTCAGGGGCTGAGATGACAGCAGTAGCTGTGGAATCTTCTGATGCTTTGGAAGGGCGCGGGCCTTCAGACCTCCAGGTGCAGAGAAAAGAAAGTGGGTCTTGTGTAGACTCAGGCTCCACAAATTTTGGCACAAGGGACGGTCCCGATTCGGGGTCCCAATGCAAGATTCCCTTGGTAGGTGCAAAACACCTTCATCGCCGGCTTCGGGCCCGGCGACGATATCATGGTGCCTCCGAAGCCACTGTCAGCTCCAGGACGGCCAGGATGTTACTAATAGGTTAGATTATATAGGTTTGTCACTTGAGTGACAAGGATACACTCTTTGGTGTGAAAACTAGGGCCGGATTGAATTGGGCGATGACACAGGCAGGTGTCGCTCAGAGTCACTGCCAGGAGCTGTTACAGGAGGTGCTTTGCGCCTTCACTCGTTGCCCGAATCCTGCGAGAGGTGCACGATTTCATAAATTGTTGAATAGCACAATTTCTGCACAAAATTTCACGTGCATGCGCATCTCATGTCTACATTTAAGACTTGACTTGACACGGGCTTGGTGGCCCAAATCACTAATTGGAAAACCCGCGGTGGCGCGCTCAGTCACTTTGTTTTCCTTCCATGGCAGCGGAGCTGGACAAAGGGCCAGCTCCCAGCTGGGGCTCCGCCGTGCCATGTAGCTCCATGCTGGTTGCTGGCAGCTTTCGTGGTGATGATGGCGATGGAGGTGGACAACTTCATCGACAGCTGCCAGGAGATCATGTAAATATTCCTTTTTGCTTCAGGCCGAATGTTGGCCTTGCGCAAGATGACAACGAGCCCCAGACGGTGGTCAAATTGCACGAATTCTTCTGGGAAAGCTGTGGCTTGGAAGACTGAACCTTGAAAGACAATCACGTTTGACCACAACAGCTGGAACTATGAGGGTGACAAGCTCTTGTGGAATATCCATTAGTGGCCTTGCGTTCACCTTTGATTCGGAAAGCAGATGGCAATTGGGATTTTGCGAGGCCTCTCAACCACTACTATGCTAATGGCTTTCCAAGTGTCGCGCTGGAAGACGGAAACCATTGGCTTCTTTCGTGCTATCGTTGGAGAGGCTATTGTTTCCAGCGGGGGTTGAACCCAATGTGCCTACAGCCAGCAGAACACGAAGGTTTCAGAAGAAGTTGTTCGGCAAGACCTGGCTTCGGGATGCTGCAGAAGGTCTTGGTATTGGACGAGGTGGATCTAAACAAAGCTTTTGGATGAAGTATGATGAAGTTGAGCGCAGAGATTCAAAAATTTGGAGCACCAGCAGTTGGCTTGACACTCAACCAGTTCTACGAAGAGGAGACCATGCACAAGGGCTTGAGTGAAGGTTGGTGTACATACCGAGACAGCCAAGTTGAGATTCAGCGCGAGCGAGCGAGAGAGAGAGAGAGAGAGAACGATCAGGCGCTGCCTTGCGGTGACCATGACCGACAATCAGAACAAGGAACTTTGAGAAGACAAGCTCGGACTTTCTGTTTCTGGTGAAAATGTAGCTTGCTTCGTTTTCCAGAGCCTGACCTCTCTAAATTGGGGGTGCCTGCGCGCGGCTTAGGTGTTGAGTCGTTGTGGAACCACCACGAAAATGCGGCCGATCCTTTCGAACCAGTTTTTAGCTCCAAAAGGTGGTTTGCTTTGGTGAGTACATATGTCCTTGTTTTGATTTGACGTCCAGGTGCTGCTAGCAATGGGCACCAAGCATTGTGGGTTGGAAAGACCCACGGCAAGGCAACAGCCCACAGCAATATTGACACCTTCGCGCTCCTTCAACCCCTTCATTACAGTTCCAATTTTGTCGGAAGGCCGGGCCGGTGGACGTGATCGTGGAGGAGTGGATGCTGATGACTCGCGGTGGAGGACCGGAGATGATCGCGCGATCAAGTCGCAGGTGGTGCAGGGGGGTATGCCAGAGAACGCGCTCACCAGCCTCTTCGACCTGCGTCGGCGTTGGATTGGTGATGGCCACGATGATGATGCGCCAGAAGTGTTGCTCAAGAGATGGATCATGGAGAGGCGGTCAAAAATCCCGCAAACTAGCCCTTCAGCAACCCGCGCGCGCAAAACTACGCGGGAGAAGTTGAGCGAGAGGTGGAGCAAAGCTGCGCCCTGCAAATCAGTTTTCATGGTAAGAAGACTTGGCTGACCTCATGGAGGGTGATGGTGGTGAGGGGCGACCTGAACGGGGGATAAGCCGACTCCCAATAGGGGAGCCCTGGAAGACATGAGATTGCTCGCGCCGTTGCTGTTGAAGCGGGGTTGGTTCTTTTTGGGCGTGGAGACGCCGCAGTTGATCTTGTCCAGATATTTGGCTTGAATACCACGCGAATCTATGCGAGTGACTTGACTGTGCTCGCACGAACTCCGATGGTTTTGGAGGGGATGCAAAAAGGCGTCGCGTTGAGGGAATCGGGAATCTTTCCCCACGCAATGTTTGCCCAAAAGGGTAAAGAACTCCAATTTGGAAGGTCAAGAAAGACACCACACCATCAGTTGAGCACTGTTTTCCTTGAATGGGTGCCTGGTTGTAGCCAGCCAAAGGAGAGAGTTTCTGATGTTCATGAGAAGACGAGCGCTGAAGGAAAGGAAGAAGTTCGCATCTTTGAGAGGAAACATACCGTGAGGCTGCTTGTGCTCTACGGCTTCTGTGTGTTTGCGTTCCTCTTTGGCATCTTCATTGCCTACTGGGTCTTACCCTTTCTCGTGCCCAGACAGGACCATGTATGTTATGAATCCGTGGTTTGCTGCAAGGTCTTTATGCTAATCGCGGTGGCATGCTTATTTAGGAGTACAACGCACAGAGAGCATTTTATCACAGTGGCGCACCAAACGTTTGGATGAACTGTGGGGATTGCAAAGCTATCCAAGCACCACAAATTCAATGAGAGGAGGCGAGCAAGCGCACCTCTCCGAATCTGCGGGCATACTGGCCTTCGCACCCTTTTTCACAGTCTCTTATAAAATCCAGGCCCCGTCGGCCTGTTTGGTCCAAAACCCAGACGGACCCTACATATCCACCTTTAGAGCGAGCGCAAGCCAAGGTGGGGTTATAGGGTAGGTACAGCCACATGAAGCTTGCGCACTTCAGTGTGCGATGTGGGACCCGCTTGAATACAGTAGATACTGTAGTTGACAGATATTGGTGGGCCACACGTCCACCATTGTGCCCAGCACGCGCAAGCTAACAGTAGGTTTCCTGGCAGGTATACCAACATGAGACATGCGTGCTGCATCTTCGCTGTGCTATGCAGAAGCACACTGTGAATCCAAATGTGGGGCGCTCCGACTCCCACTGTTGCACCCACTATGCACTAGCTAAGTGTAGAATTTTGGACACATGCTCCCGCATAAGACATGCAAACATGCTTAAGAAGTGCACGTTGGCAGATTTGTGACTCCCTGTTCTTGTGGGTTGGCTTCTTTTCATCTGCGTGCCATGCGGTGGGCTGACTTCCTGTTGTGTGGGCTGCGAAAGGCCGAGCGCTCTTACCACGTCGCTGATTGGAATCCAGTGGCCGGATATCTTCGAGATGTCCGGGCTCAAGACTAGAGAATTCAGGCGACGCGGAAAGTGGAGAAGAATGCGTCATGGAAATCCCAATCACAGATGCCACACGCGCTACAAGCCTACAAAATCAGAGGAAGGGTCAGAAAAAACCTCAGAGTCGGTGGAATCGGAGAGAGGATCAAGAGAATGCGATTGGCACGAGTGGGGGGACCTTGTTCTACATTTCAAGCAGGGGCAGAGAGAAGGGCCAGAATTTACAGCATTCTGCCCAATCAGTTGCAGGATTGGTTTCGAGGACGCTTCTTTCATCACAGGGCTTCTGACCGTATCAGGCCCCAGAGCTGGACAGAGGAAGAACCAAAAGTGTAGGCAAAAGAGTTTGAAAAGTTAGAGCGCGCAAGACTTACCAAAACTTTGAGGTGGCGTGTTGGCACCTTTTCAACCTCCCGAGCTGTCATGCCCATGCGCATTCCACGTCTACATTTGACACTTGACTTCACCGGGCCTGCTGGGAAGTCAGCCGGGGTGCGCCCTTTCAGAATTAAATGGCTCTTGGGTGACATGTGCCTAGAATAGTGGCTGGCATGCTGCTTCACTGGAACGTGCCCGAACCATGTTTTTTGCCTTCCATGATCATTACATGCTTTGCTGGCACGCTGCCGGCAATCCTCCAGGTGCGACGTAAGCGCTGATGATTGCGTGGCTGAGTTGGAAACAAACTTTGACTCTGACGTGCCTGGAGCCCAGCCGGAAACCAGAACGCCCAGAGCCCACGCATTTGATGAACGATGGCTTGTTAACTTTCGCCATCTTGCGATGTTTTTGTGCTCAGGGCTGATGCTGGGCCATCCAGTTCCAGTGAAGGCGGAAACCCAGACCTCCTCCATGCCAAGGGTCGCTGTCAGCCTTGCTTATTCCAAAGCAGGCCGGCCGCTTGATTTCTATCGACCGTTCCATGACATGAACAAATGAAAAGTTATGTGGGCAGGGTCTGAGGATCTTTTGCAACCTTCCGTGTTCGTTTAGTTTTTATAACTTGGACCTTAAATTTTCTATAAACCTTGCATGTTCCTGTCATTGTGTTTCCGTTCTATTTGGCCAGGTACTTTTCAGATCCAGAAACATATCCTGCCTGTACGAAACCTGATTGCCTTGCACGATACTGTCACCTCCCTCATAGTGAGGACGGAATCACTGTACATAGAGAGAGGTAGAAAGAGATACCCTTTTTTTCTGTTGACAAGTCTATTGAAACCATCAGAACCATCAGAATCTAGAAGTCTGGAGGAAGAGTTGGTTTCTCTTGGCGCTACTGCGACAAAACGCGTACCACGTGGACCATTTCGCAACCTTGCAGGACTACATTGCAAAGTACAAGTCTTACAAGCGGCGGTACGAGAAGAAGAATCGCGCCTTGGCGACATGACAGAGGTATACAGTATACGCATTTGGAACACCTTTCACATTGGCAGCAGGCAGGCAAGGGATGAGACTTATTGAGAGCAAGAGCGCAAAGTTTAAGGCAACAATGCAAAAATGAAAGAGAGTCCCAGTGTTATGCAACATTTGTCATCAGAGCAAAATGTGTTGCCATGTAAAGTCATGAAGCAATAAAACGACACAGCCATGACGCATCGTGACATGGCCAATCATTGTCATCCCACCAGTGATGGCGCCCAGCCAACAAATTGCAGTGGTATCCAGTGTTAGGTCTCAGCCTCACAAGTTTGAAACCGAGTTTCTTTCTCTGAAAAATCTTGTGACCGACCATTTCTCTATATATAGAGAGAGAGAGCACAGAGAGAGAGAGAGAGAGATAATATTCGATTATCTATGTCACCTATGCATGAGCGCCAATCCACACACATGTTTCTGCCAATTCACGATTGAACATTTGCTTGCAGTGGCTTTGCAAAAGGACAGCTGCTGGCTGGGCAGAAGACATATTGTGTGTATTGTGAAGCACCCATACAGTCAAAGTGCATAAGACCAAGCGCACAAATAAACAGTGAGGCCCTTGATCCAACGGTGCTAGCTGTTGCTCCCCCCTGATGGTTTTGGAGTCCCTGAGGCACAGCATACCGAAAACAACTGGAGGCGGCAAAGCAATGCAAAATGTGCTCCTGTTCTGTGACTTTTGTCTCGAAGCGAACGCCTTGACAGTCTTGAAAAAGTTGTCTCTGCAAAGCCACTGATGTGGCGCAGGCTCTTTGAGAGTGAGCTTGCAGCTTTGAGTTGAGGATGCCTGCAAAAATCAGTGGGTCTTTGTGTCCAGTTCTTTCATTTGCTTCTTGCATCAAAACACACTTTGTTTGACTCAGTGTCCGATAGTTTTCAATTGAGCCGACTTGGATGCTGCGACGCCCATGGCTGAAGCTGAGATCTTTGGCGATGATAGTGTCGTTGTCGAGCTGTGTAGCTCTACGCTCTGCACCAATCGTGCCAGCAGCGTGCTTTCGTGCCGTGCATGGAGAAGCCCAAGGGGAATGGAAAGAAATTGCTCCAAGACTAATGAAGCTCATAGGTTTGACAAGTTTGACAGCTCAGATTTGATCCTTTTTGACCTTCAAGATATGTTGCTTGAGCTGGTTGACATGGGGTCATTCCCAAAGTGAAAGGTCCTACTGGCAGCGATCTGCATTTCCCCTTGTTTTTGGAGCTGCGCCCTGCGTACAGCTTGCCTCCTTTGTTTAGCTGGGCTGAGCTGTCGGAGTTCATTCCGTGCGAAAAAGAGTGAGTTCGGATGACTTGGTGTTTGAAGGCTGTGGATTCTCACCACCCATTTTGGCAAAATCTGGACCAGGTTGCGGCGTCCCGACGTTTCAGACATTCCTGTTTTGCTTGCAGATACCTTTGACTTTTTTCAGATGGGGTTGTCCAGAGGAGATTGGGGCCTGATGCAGCACGAGAGGCCTGTTGAGCAATTGACCAATTGCACGGTGGAAGATTGACAAAGCAGACTTTGATGGTTTCACAGTCGATAAAAGAAGATGTTTCTAGTGTGGGGATTATCGACTGTGTGTGTGAACCGTGGATATTTGCGTGAGGTGGGACAACATCACCATCGCCCATCAGATGGTTTGACAATGCCCAGAATTTACAGTGTTTACCTACGGACCGGAATCGGAAGCTAGACTGTTGGTCTTGTTTCACAAATCCCCCGCTAAGCTAGAATGCAGTGGTAGCAGCAAATTGTTTAGTAATAAGTTTTCGGAAGATAGAATGTTGCGTCCTATGTTTTTTCCTTCTTGACGCTTGAATGTGCTCCATGTTGCTAGACTCATCGAAAATGAGTGGCTTGAATGATTTTGAACGAAAGCAAGAATGCCTCCCAAACAGGTGTCATGACCATGACTTTAAAACATACCAAGAGTCCTGCGCGCGGGTAGGGGGGAATGAAAAGGAAAGAGCAGAAGACGGCAAAAGAACACACACTCGAATTTGGAAGCAGAATGCTCAAGGAGGCTCATACAAAGGAATGGAGACGGAATAGGCAGGGGAGAACAGGGCAAATAGGCCAGGAAAATCAATGGAAGAGGTAGGAAAAGCAAAATGGGAAAGGGCGCACCTTGAATGCCACAACCCTACAGAACGGAATAAAGGAACGGAAGGACAGAGGAAAGGAAAAGAAAAGGAAAACCGAAAAGGTCAAAGGAAAGGAAGAGGCGAAGGAATGGGAAAGGAAAAGAAAAAAGGAGGCAGGAAAGGGAAAATGGCAAAAGGACCAATGAAAAAGGAAAGGACATAACATATTTAGTGCATGTTAATGCCATTTAGTGCCTATTTGTTTGTTGTTGTTGGTAGAGACAATAACAGCTGCCCAACATAGTTGTCACATGTTGCAAGTCAAGGATTTCAAAGGGACACTGTTAGGGATAGGGTCGAAGGTTTGGAGAGATGCTAGTAGCTGGACTTCTTGTCGTTGTGGTACTCAAGTCTTGGTTGGTTTGTTTCTTGTGTTTTCTATTTTTTGGGGGGGTGTTGTTCTGGAGGGGGGGGTCAAAAAACAACAACGGGGCTGCAGATTTTGTTTCTAGGCGGGGTAGGGACAACAACATCTTTTGAGGGGGGGCTCCAAAACAACAACAACAACAACAACAACACCAACAACTTCTTCTTCTTCTCTCACGCTAAGGAGGTCAATCTCGCTTGCGCCATCTTCCATGAGACAGTGCTCATGGGATCTAGGATCGATCGGTAGGCTGTACGTGTATCTGGACCTCCTGATCAGGAGACAAAAATCCGGACACACTGAAACAAAAAAAGGAGAGTCTCTCAGGAGCCGCTGTCGCCCAGGCCACAGCTGCAGCTAGGCACATGGTGCAGCGCTCAGCCGGCGCCGGTGAAGAGCCGTAGCAAGAGGCAGCAGTAGGCATCCCTTACGCCAGTCGCCGCTCGCTGCTATCATCCAAGGCTCTACCCAAGACACCACTTAAGACCAGGCTCAAAGCACCCTGACAGGATGGTGCCTCTTCAGGTCCTGCCAGTGCTCATCATACCTCAGAACTGCTCTGAAGTGACCTGACAGGCTCGATCCTAAGTGACAAATCACGGCTTGGACGCGATACGGTGACCAGTGAAGGTCAAGCCCAGGACCATAGAAATGCGGCAATTCAACCATGGAGTGCATGTCGATTGGATGGAAATGACCTAAGTGGCGAGTGAGGCTCATGAGACGGTCGGCAAAAATGCATTTAATGCTCTGTGCTTGCAGGAATGCAGCACGCATCCCATGCCCATGAGTCCACATTTGGCACAAATCAGAAATCGTGGGTGATGTTTTGTCAAGCTCGTACATGCCATCAAGGGCCAGCGGCTGATGTTTTCCTCCAGTTTCTTCGCAGACAACTTTGTCTGCCATGGAAACACGACGGGCCCAACTCATGTCAACCTTGCTGCAATTGCACCATTCTAAGAGTTCAGCAGTGAATTCTGCACAATCACGCGGACCAGTTTCCGTGGTGCGCTGCAGCAAGGGACGCAAGGTGGTCATCATTGCCAGCTGTACAGCCTGTCCCCCAGGCTGGTTCATCAAGGTCTCGCAGACCGATGCAGCTTTCCCAAAGTCCCCAAGGTCACAACTCCTTCGATGAAGGAGACTCCACAAAAAGCACATCATACCTGAGTTCAGGAAGCACCAATTGCTTTCATTCCCAAAGCTGGTGGTGAGAAGCACCTGAATCATGGCGTGTCGATTGAAGGCCCCTGCGGTCAGCGGGAGCTCCGGCCCATCGTGGCATCGTGGAGATCCTGTGCCAGTCGGCTCCTCTGTAGCCCCTGTGGTTTGAGTCTGCCAGCCACAAGAAGCCATACACTGTGATGACATAGAGAGCGCAAGAGGACCATCAGCTGATCGTTCCTCATGGGCACTTGCAAGCGCCAGGGAAAGGTCTCGCCCTTTGCCTTCGGGCTTGCCATGGAGTTGAATCTGATGACATTCTCGGTCTGACTCATGGCGCTTCGAAGGGCCGTGAGTTTCTGTTCCACCTCCTGGCGGCTCAGCGGCTGCTGCGTCGGTGAAGGAATGAGCTTCTCCTGAGTGCGGTCCCACATCAAGTAGGGCATCGAGCCCTGAGGAAGCAACAAGTTCGAGTCCAGACTGGCCTGCGTGAAGGCTTCGTCGGTGAGCTTGGTGCAAAAGTTGGAAAAGCGTTGAGTCATCTGGTCCATTACTGTCTGCATCAGACAGGCCCGAAGGGGCTTCTGAGGCTCGCTCTCCTCCTTCCAGTCCTTCCCCGCTTGGAGGAGTTGCTGGACTATCCCTTGTTGGCCTCTGTTGAGAAACAGGATAAAGCTGTCCCGTGAGTGGATCGACTGAATGGAGTCCTCGTGGCGGATCAAGATGCGAGCCATCATGTTGCATAGTTGGTTCAAGTTCTGGTCCCTGTGAGGGTCTGGGGACCTCATCTCGGCTTTCATGCCCCCTCGGTGGAACATCTTCCTGATCTTGAGGTACGAGCATATTTAAGAATGCTGCCTGGAGCTGGGAGGTGCGATCGGCCTCGGTGAGCCGTACTTGTTCCTCTCGACGTGCCATAGGGTCCGAGTTGAGCAAGGATGAGGCACAAGTTCAGGATGGTGGGACACTTGTGCGAGAGCTTGGCCCAGGCGGTGTTGTCCTCAAGCTGGTATGTGATCTGATCAGCTCCACAAAGGGTGCAGGGGATGCCAAGGCCTTGAGCCCTCACGTGATGGCTCACATACAAAAGCAATTGCGCAATCCGGCTGGTCAGATCACCATGCTGATGTGAAAGGTGTTCCAGCAGCATGTGTGGTGTACTGAAGGTGCGATTGCATGCTGAACAACAGTGGCTTAGGGCCTTGCAGGTCAGTGAATCCATCCACAGCTTGTCGAAGGTTCGATCACCAATCCAGGTAGCCAGGTTGGGAGCCTGCGCCAACAACTGAGGATTGCATGCGAGAAGTTGAATGACGTCGTGTTGGGCTGTCTCCCAGGGAACCAGTACTTGAAGATGACCTGGGTTGAGGACATGATGAAGCATGGCTGTTTGCCGGTGGGCCATACATCGATGACTGCGTCGCTGTTGTGCAGTAGCGGGATTACAACAACATCCCGGCTGAGTTTCTTCAAGCAACGCTGTGAAGTTCTCGGCGGCCTTGTGGAAAGGGCCATGCTGGGTCAAGATGCGCCGCATCAAGTCAGCAGATCTTTTCAGGCCTTGGCCGCACATCGTGCACGTGATGGTGAGCAACATCCGGTGGTTGGCACTCTCTATGAAGCGATGCCATGTACCCCACAACAAGGTCTCTAGCATAGTCTCTTCTTTCCTGAGTATCCCCTGTTGGTCGGCCAAATAGTCAATGCAATTGCACGAACCTCGATTGATATGCCGTTGGAGTTCCCATATTTCCTTGAAGTCGGTTCCACAATGTCGACACTGTGGGTTGCCTCTGACCGTGTCCCGAATGCAGCTGAAGCGAGTATGCTCTGTCCTCAAATGCTCAGTAAGCTGGGCCTCTGATGGGAACGTCTGAGCACAGTGCAAACAGATGGTAGCGGAGCGCTGGGATGAATCCATGTCCTGAGAGGCAAACAGTGAGGCCAGTTGAAACAGCGGACTACATTGATGGGTATGCTCCCGCCATTCCTGGGGAATAAACGGGGGAGTGACATTCCACCATTGCTGCAGCAGTAGCATCAACTTCGAGGCAGCAATATCAGCCGTTCCAATTAGAGAGAAGCCTGGACTTTTATGCGGTGCCATCGACTTCATGCCCTTAGTCCGGCGAATTGTCCTAGCAAGATCACTCTCACTGAAAGGAACGCCTGGAGCTGGGGCGGTTATCGGATCCATGGGTGCACCATACCATGTGTTTGAAACATAACGACAAAGCACCTGGAAGGACTCAGTTGGCCCGAGAAGGTGGCCCTCTTCCGATCGAAGCTGAATCCTGTCGGGTTTGGTTTTGGGTGTCAGTCTGTTAATGATATGGTATAACCGACTCATGTCATGTTTACGGGCAGCGTCCTCAGCCGAGTCAAGAAGAGACTGCAATCGATCATTCTTCTTCTGTTTCAGGGCCTCCGAATGTCGTTTGGTCCATGTTTGGTGCAGCTGAACGAGTTTCCAGGCCTGAAAACAATGCTTCACACTACTGCCCTGGAGGGCCTGCAAGGCTCTTCGAAGATCCCATTTGGTCCGAGCAAGCCTGGCATCAAAGTCAGTCGTGGGTGATGCAACAGGGGAAAAATGGGTTCTGAAGAGTCCGGTGAGGCCTTGGTGAATAGGGGCAAAGTTGCCATCACTTGGCCACACAGTGTCCTCCAGAAAGGCTTTGGATGCAGTGCAAAAATCATCCCATCCAGGCTGGTTGAGTCTACGTGCCAAACGACAAGTCTCCTTAGCGGCATAGCCAACAGTCGAAAGCGTGCAGCCTTGCTGGCTTGACCACCTGAGTGGAACATTTCCAAGGACAGGGAAGTGTCCTTGTGAAGTCACAGGAAGTGGCGGCCAGTCCCTGAGGGGAGTACATTGGCGTGCCATGGGATCCGCCTGACGGAATTTGGTACATATGTAGTCAATCCGTGACCCGTTATTCATGGAGGAATAGTATGTGGCAGTGGAAGGGCTTTGCCATGTATTGAGGGCAACAATGCCATGATGCTGCATGATGGCCTGCAAGGTGCCATGGTCAGCATGGACCATTCCCGGATTGTGGCTTCCATCCGGGTTGAGGAAACCCGCATTGCCTACCGTGCGCCGGTCTGCATCGAGACTGGTGTTCATGTCTCCAGCAATTACGAGTTGGTTCCTACTGGGGAAGGTGGCCAAGGTTTCATCCAAAAGGCTGAACCATTGTTTCCTAGCCCCCTTAGTGACATGGGTGGCATGGTATGCAAACTGGTAGGTACACAGGACATCTAGTGCACGCTCTTGGAGATACAATCTAAGATGCAGCAATCGTCCGGCATGCAATGCAGTCCATCCAATGTTATCTATATTACAGAATGAAGATCGAACACATGCAACAATGCCACATGACCGATACGGAGTGCCTGATGTCGATATGCAGTACCAGCCTTGCTGTTGCCAAGTTCGACTTCCTTGCCACCTTGTCTCAGTTAAAATCACCAGCTGGATGTGTTGCGGTCCGGCCCATTGCAGCACTTCGTGCAAGGTGGCATTGGACAAGCCACTAGCGTTCCAGGTCAGGATTCCACATCTCTTCCTGAGGTGCCGGGGTTCGGTCATACTCCATTGGTCAACAGAGGTCGAACTCACTTCAGGCTTGGGAGACTTGTGACGGACATGACAGCGCTGGCATCCTAGTGAGTGAGGAGTGGCAAGGCGGCCGTGGTACCAGGTATAGCCCCACTCAATAGCTCGTTTTTGAGCCCTTCTGAGACTTCGCTTTTTGTTAGTCGATCCTCTTTCGATCACGAACGAGGAAGATGGGATGTCATGTTCTTTCGTGGCATCATCAACAACATGTTGCAAAACGTTGGACAGTGCCACTTCCGTAGGTCGCATGACCGGCCTACAACCCTCGCCTCTAACGTTTGGCCGACAAAACATGGGTGGATGCGAGATGGCAAACGTTCCTCGGACTTGGGACCGAGGCCCAGTCAAAGCCTGGTCTGTGTTAATGCGATTGAGCGGCACCAAATCTCCAAGAAACGGAGGTGCAGTCAAAAGCACCAAGGACCAGAAGGCCAGACGCCACATCAGCTGCGGCAGCAGCGCAGCCAGCGCACACGGCGGCGCACAGGCGTCAGCACTCCATGATCGGAGCGGCCGACCGGTCAGACCTTGGCAGGCCTTGTCTGAGAAAGGCTTAACAACAACAACAACAACGGGGCTGCAGTTTTTGTCTCTAGTATGTGGTAGAGGTTCTAAGTAGAAGTTTTACAGAGGCTTAGCTGACCGGACTACCACCACTACTGCTGCTGCTGCTACTACTACTACCACCACTACCACTACCACTACCACTACTACTACTACTACTACTGCTACTACTACTACTACTACTACTACTACGACTATTACTACTACGACTACCACTACCACTACTACTACTACTACTACCACGACGACGACGACGTCGACGATGACGACGACGATGACGACGACCACGACCACGACCACGACCACAACGACTGCACTAGTACAAGCACTACCACTACTGGTAAAAGTACATGTTGGCTGGTTGTTTTCGGGGGGGGTCAAAATGACAACGACGGGGTTGCAGATTTTGTTTCCACCCCCTTGTAGAGACAAAGGAACAAGATATCTTGTAAGCAGTTTTTGTTTGTACCTTGTTGCTGTTGTTGTTGTTGCTGTTGTTGTTCAAGGTTCTTTCTTATGTGTGGTTCCTGTCCAAGTTTTCCTATTCCTGGCCTTTGGACTGAGAGTGTGGGTTTCTTAAAGATTTGTGAGGCGCAGATAAAATGCCCGCTAAACAGGATGCGATGACAATGGCTTTAAACATGTGCCAATGTTTCTCTGTGTGTGTGGGTGCATATGTACATATATACATGTAGTTTCTTCTTGCCTGGCGGTGCATTCCTCAGCAGCCTGTCCTCCAGCTTGTCCATGGCTTCACAGCCGTCCACTGAATTTTGGTTGAAGCCACCAATGCAGCAAGTGCCAAAGGGATCAGGGCTGAAATGGCATTTAATGTACTTGGAAAGGTCCAGGAAAAAGGAGGGTTCGACTAACTGTGTTCGACAAACTGTGTTAACACTTGTTTTACTGATTTTGAACATCAAAGATTAAGAGAAACGTTTCAGTTCAAGATGTTTCCCCCGTTGAAGAATCCAAGACGGCATTCTAGCTTCCGGTCCGTCGATATATATATATATACAGTATATATATATATACCTATATAATGTCACAGTCTTTTCACCCACTGTTCAGCGATCCAAGTTGTACTTGAACTTGTTGACCATCACTTCGACGTTGTCACCAAGCACTTTCGGGACGCGGCCATGCATTTTCCCGATCGTGGTGCTTTGAGCAGGCCATTCCCGAGTTGCTGCAGTCTCCATCAGAGTCACCCATTTGGGAACGAGACGATTTGCCCGGGCGCCGGGACCGACAACGACATGTCATGACAAATCATGATCATGAGATGTCAACGAGGTTGATGCCAGTCCTGGAAGACGATGTCCTCCTCTTTGAAGCAGCGGAAGACAGTGACGAGGCAACTTGTGAGGTTACAAACATCCTCAAATCCAGCGATCAAGATTGTTTCCTTGGTGACACTCGAATTCCTCAGTGGCCGACGAGGAGACTGCAGAGACATTGCCGAGTGCCACAGGGAAAGGCAAAGGAGGTGCCAGGGAAGTGTCGCTTTTCTGACTCAGGGTGGAAGCCATGGAAGCCAGGGTCAATTTCTGGATTTCCAAGTTTTGCCCTGAAATGGGCTTTGGGGAGGCGTTTGAGCGATTGACGCCAGGCCCTGAGAAGGGTTATATAGTTGCAGTTCCTTGGCCTTGTGCCGCCATGATAGCAAGCAAAACGATTTACAAGCCACTGCAGGACTTTCCTCCAAAATAACCCCGTGCTTGCCATTGCTGGTGGCTCAAGCTTCTCAGAACAACAAGAAGCAGCTTCATTTTGTCTCAGCAGCTCCTTACGCTTGGGACCATGGCACTTGTGGTGCTAATGGCACATGTAAAATCTCACGTTAACAGGCATAATTGATTCTCACAGTAGAACCTGGTTTTGCCCGTCGCTGCTACTCAGTAGCTGTTGTTTCGCATGGCAACCTTGGGCAGCCCAGTACAATTGAGTTTGTTTTGCCTATATTATTGCTGTATCTTTCCAGTGTATCAAGTTTGGCCGCCTCAGCAGCACGACTTACTGTAGATGTATAAAACTATATATATATACCTATATATATATAAATGGTATCATTTGCCATACTGCATATCTCTCCGACATCCATATGTTAGCGTGAGGCAAGGTAGAAGTGGATATCAACCTGCTGGTGCAACTTCAAGAACAACTCATCCAGAGTGCCAAGGCCACGTGATGCCACGTCAATTTTCAAAAGTTTCGGCATGTGTTCAAGTCACAAGACGGCCAGGCCATTGGTGAGCAACTGGAATCGACGGATTTGGAGGCTCCACTCTCAAAGGTCAAGCGAGTATCACAGGTATCTACCGATGCGACAATTCCAAATACTTCAGCGCGGAGCTCAGCTTTTGAGGCTAGGGATGCTACCATAGTGCACAAGAATCAAGTTTTGGAAGCTTCATTGATCTCACTCCTATGGCCCTATGGGCCAAAGTGGAATGACCACGAGGTGCAAGGCTTTTCAACCACACCTCGCCTGGATGAGAAGCCAGTGCCTTGCTGAAGTTTCAGTGGACCAGCTGTTTTCTGTGTTCACCCGTTGGAACTCAGCATTTTGGTGTACTGCATATGTTTGGGGCACTCCGTTCAGGAAAAGTTTGAGCTGCAGCCAAATGGTGTGCCCATGCTGACCACCACGGCTCCGAAACGGCACTCCATGCTTTCCTCCAAAAGCTCGGTCTCAAGCATAACCTTGGAAGATGCAGGCGAGGCTCCAGCATTTGCTGCGTTTGTGTGTTACATTGAGAACAAAAGCCCTAATAGTGCCATGCATTGACTCAAATGCTGCCAGAGGCTGCAGCCGAATGCTGGACGAGTGGCGAGAGAAGTTTGTGCTTGCCCAGCAGGAAGCGATTGACATCTACTCGGAGATGCATCGCTCCTTGCACGTGCAAAAGCATGCAATGGCGATTGAATTGCAAACCCTTATAATTATATGTATGAACCATTGGTGCTTTGGCTGGGAGGGCTAGGTACTGTGGTCAAGACGGAAAGCGAACCACAGGAGGTGACCATCCTGAGTTTGTCAAGCTACAGGATTTAAACCAGAGACGACGGTTTTGACTTTTGACCCACGGGATGGGACTGAGTCTGCCAATGGCATTCTTTCGCTCTTAGGGACACCTTATAAAGTGTTTGTGTTTCTTTCTTAATCAGAGTGCTTGTTACTAGTAGCTTCTTGTTCCTAGTAGTAGGCCAGGAGCCCCTAGTAGCGTCCTTGCTCCTTAGTAGCGATGCCCTTTGTTGCTAGATAGCAGGGTCGTTGTTCGTACTTTCAAGGTCAAGACGCCACCCCGAAGAAAGCCTTCACGCGGCGGCACAGCCACATTGTTTGGACGTTCGAGGCAAGACAGTGAATCAAGATGCACCAATCAGATCATCAAACTGAAAACGCAACACAGAACATCTAGGAGCACTCGCGTCAGGGTTTGCTGCCAACGGCCAGCGACTTCAATTTGGCAATTGCTTTCAATCCCAAGGCGTGCTGACCAGCGTTCAGAATCCCACAGTATCAGACACATGAACCACCAAATGATGAAATCATGCATCATCATTGGCACGACGAACCGATCAACCATATTGAAGAAGCATAAATTCAGTCAGAAACCAACAACTTGAAATGAACTTCACTGAACTTCACCATGGGAAGTTCAGTGTGGATGAACGGCCATGATGCGGAACAGACGCTTGAAACCTTGTTTCCAGGAGTTGCTGCGATTGTGGCGGTTGACCTGGGACTTTCTGACCATTGTTTTGGTGGCCATTGATGCGTTTGTTTTGCCCATCCGCCTGGCATGGCCAGAGCGTTTTGCCGACGGTGGCTATGTGCAGAGTTTCTACCAGGCAAACGCTCAGCGGGTCACGGGAACGACCCCTAGCGGGCCACACGTGCCCCCTCTTTGGGCGTTTTGTTTTTTTGAGCGGATTCCGTAAGGCAGGCACTTGCTCCTAGTAGCTTTCTTGTTACTACTAGTAAGGTACCTGTTCCTAGTAGCGTGGCACTTGTTTCTAATAGCTTCTTGTTACTACTAGTAAGGGAGATGGACGAAATGCTGAAACCCTTTACCACATACTCGTACACTTCCCCCATCCCCCAAAGCTCAATGTTGACAGCGTTTCTGGAGACTACGGCCGAATGGACGAAACTCATCAAACTCCAAAGGTACTGTACCAAAAACATATGTTCAACCTGTAACATTCAGATTTGGGGTGCGAGGTCAATGGAGTTTTGGGGATTTCATCATTTTGTCCATTTACTGTAGTCTCTCAGCGGCTGCATCATCATCATCATCACCACCACCACCATCATCGTACAGTATGCAATACTGTTGGGGCAATGTAGCAGCATACCCACACATTGCCAGAATGGTAAGTTGACAGGTGACTCCAGTCTTTTGGGTCATTGACATCCTGATGAACTTTGCAATGGCAGCTCTTTCGCAGAACAAGACGAGAGTTCTCCTGACATATGCCTGTGGGACACTCAGTTTCGGCTGCAAGTATTGGCTTCGGCCTCTCACTTTGTCAGATTTAGATGGCTTCATGGACTGCCACCAGCGGTTCCAGAAACCAGATGCAGCAGTATTCTGATGTGTAGCGTGAGTCGTGACACAGCGGACATTGAGGTACATGGCTTTGGTTCGATGTTGGTTTGGTGGTCTTGGATTTCGTCCTTTTGCTGCAGATGGTGCCAGAGACCTTCAAGTCCTTGACACTCCTTCGGTTGTTTCGATTTGCCAAGTTCAAACACGTCCCTTGGAGCAGTTGGAGTTCATTGTTTATCAAATCACCAAAACATTTATATGTCATATGTCCAAGGATTCTTGTCATCGTTTGGTTGAAGTTCAAGTGTTTTGTCCTTCGTTTTATGGCCGCACAACACAGAGACTCGAAGGTGTGCATCCGTGAACTTGACAGTTGATAATCTGTAATCTGTACACTGTAATTTAACCATGTTTGAGGCAATGGTAGAGTTGGAGAGTTTGCTGGAAGCACGAGGGATGATTCGAGCGAAGCACATCTCGACGATTCTGCAATGTGTGATCTTCATTTTGGGTGTGAACCATGTCTTGGCATGCGTCACGGTTTACGTGGCAAAGCGAGAGCAGTTCTATCAGCGTGTCAACTGGATGGACGAGAATCAAGTTATGAGCAACGATCTGCTTTTTCAGTATATGAGCCTTGGGTCAGACATGTGTTGAATTTGGGCAAAGTGTCCCAGAGAAATGTTCAGCAATGGGTAAGGTGGTGTTCGCTCATTTCTTTTGCTTTTCGGTTGGGTCTATATAGCACCAAGGATCTCCTTCAATTGGGTGATTGCAGAGCGGCTTGGAAGCATGCAACATTCAAGCCCTCCCACGTTTGCAAGTTTGCAAGAAGGCTGTGCCCGAGGTACACTCCAGCACCGTATCCCTTTACCGCGACCAATGAGCTGGAGCAAGGGTTGGTGCTGGCAACTTGACTGAACTGGATGACAATGCCCTTGCAAACGTCAGTGTTTGGGAGGCCATCATCCTGACGTGTTTGCCCATGCTGGGAGCACAGATTGGAAGCTAAGTTTGCAAGCATCGGCATGCCTTGGACTGTTTAGGGCCGTTGGCAACAGCATGAGCCATTGTTTGGATACGTTTGGATGAACCATTGCCTCAATGCCTCGGCCTACCTTGTCAATGTCCTGAGCCTGATAGTGCACTGGCCAGCCCACTGTGCCCAAGATCAGGAATCATCAGCGGCACCTTGACTAAGATGAATGAGAAGAGCAAGGACAGATGGGAATTCCAGTGTGCATGACAGATCATGACATATTTGCTGATCTTCCAGGAGCGAGAGACAGTGAAACGAGACCTGCAACGGTGGCTGCGAAAGACCCGAGCGCCGAAAGAACTGACACAGCGCCATGGCCAAGGATCGGTAGCACCTTTGCAGATATATACAAGTTATACAAGTATATATTTATATTGCTGCCACCGGCACCACCATTTGTCGTGCTTACATCAACCCCTTGAAATTCATGTTGCGTTTGTTGCTTTAAATGCTTGGGCTTGGATGCACTAAGCCCAAAAGTATTCAAAAGTATATAGGTTCTATTTGTTGGGAACCCACCCTCAAAGAGCCCTGCGACTGTGCTCACATGAGGCGCGTTGTTGCGGCGTTGGACGAAGTGCTGAAGTCGGGCGAAAACCCATTGGACTTCCGTGAGCCTGTCGCATTGGATTTCTTGCCTACGACGTTGATTCAAGAGCTGCATATGGTGAATACCAGCCACAAGCTGTTCATTCACCCCCTCTTCAGCATGCTAATGGATGAAGCTCGAAGGATGTGCCAGAATGTGTTTCACGTGGATTTTTTCCTTGCAGCTTTTCGACCGTGCGTTCCCATTGTGCCACTGTTGGCTCAAAGAGTATGGTGTTCGTTATTTTTGCTTTTGTTGCTCCCGGCTCAGGGGAGGAACCAAGGAAGTTTTTGAAGCCAAATGCCAACCAAACGAAACCCAAAACAAGCGCCGTAATGCGGCCTGCAAGGTTTGTTGGTATGGGGGCAAAGGCAGAACTGACCTTGTGCAAAGCCTCAGCAAGGTCCTGACATCAATCCAACCAAGCCGCACATTCGTGGGGAGGCGCTGCACACTCCCATCACTAACCTCATTCCAGCTTTGTTTAATCCGAGGCCAAGCCAGTCAAACCACACCTAACCCTGCAAATATGTAACCCTAGGTCCATAGAATGAGGAACATGCACAACGTATCGGATCACTTGTTGGGTGGCTTTGTTTTGGCATACTCTCCGATTCAGCTTTATCAGGCCAAAGCCCAGCCAGTCAAGCGCCCTAAACAATGTATAGGTCACCCTACAGAAGCAAAGAAATGAACCAAGAAATCACCATAGGCAAGCGGGCATTATTAGGGCCAGAGGCGGACAAGACTCACCGTAAGAGGATATGATATGATTATTCTTTCCTTTCCCTCTACAACTCCTTTCCTTTTCATCCCTCTCTTTCTCTCTCTCCTTCTCTCTCCTTCTCTCTCGCTCTCTCTTGGGCTAGGAACAGGAAAGCACATGACAAGCACGCGGTCGAATGTAGCGTTGTGACGGGCTTTGGGTTTGAGGCGCCCAATTTCAGAAACACTGATTGTGACAGCCCGAAATATGTATATATATATACCATTATATACCCATAATTGTTTAATATTGTTTATGTATGTGTATATAAATATTGTTGTCGCACCACATCATAGCTGAGCTCAGGAAAGACTGGAGTTTGGCGGCCCGCGACTCAGTTGTCACGATTGCTCCAGACATGTCCAAATTTTGGATCACAGAAAGAACATACGAGTGCAAGCGTTTTGTGTACACATCATAGTAGGGCAGTAGGGTACCTCAATCAGATGGTTTCACAAACCCAACGACTCCAACAACCAATGACATCCAATGACCAAAATCATCCCAAGTGGTCAGCGCAGGACGTTTGGCTTCGTCCTTCCAGTCAAAGGTCTACATCCAAGGTGAGGCAATTTTCAGTCAAGGACGGCGAGCTGAAGGCGGAACTGGCTCTAGAGTCAGATAAAAGAGAAAAGCTCGGGATAAAAGGAATCACTGTTTTTCTATGTTCACACATCTTATTAAACAATCAAGATTGGAGTTCGAGGGAGCCGACGCCAACTTGCGATTTGCAAGGCATCTACATCACTACACATGGGGGGTTCTCGTTTCAGCCGTCGAAAAGTGATGCTCGGATGCGAATCAAGTTGCAATGCAGGGAAGTGGAGCAGCCAAGGCACACCCAGTGATTTAAAGTTTGCTCAGGACAGCTCTCATTTCAAAAGCCGCAAGAACAAAAGCGTGCACTGGAACAATGAGAGCTGGTTCGCTGAAGCTTGGCTCGATTCAGATGCCTACTGTCGCAGGGTCGATTGCAGGGTCCTTTGACTCTTGGACAACCACAGATGCAAATTTACGTTAATTTACCTTGGCCGAGCACCACCCCTTGAAACCTAATAAAAAGAAGTCCAGCCACCTGCAGGCACCCTTTCTGAAAGACCACAAGGTGCCACGGAATTTTCAGGAGTTGACCAGGCTCACACCACAACTGCTGGGATTTGCTGGACGATGGCCACACTGCCACTCAGGAGCTGTCGCTCTACTTGCCTAGGACACTGAGATGTATCCATGCAGGTCAATGATTTGATGTGACTACATATAGAAGTATTTAAGTATTTGTGTGTGTGTGTGCGACATTGGTGCAACAGCCAACGTAGGTTCAGCATGCCAGCTGATTATTTTGCTGTTCTATTTGTTTGGCTGATTTCTGCCGCTATCAACAGCTTTGCCCGTCGGATTCACGGCAAGAGGATCCACGCATCCACGTTGACAGCTATGACCTATGCAAAATCCCTGATGATGACCTACGAAAACTTCATCGAGGTTCTTCACTGGGAAGTCGTGCTGGAACTGAAATAAGTTTGTTGGTCATTGGTCATTTGCACGGCTGTTGATGGAGCCATTAGTTTCATATGCTGAAAGCCAGGGCCTCCCTGTTTTCCTTCCTACATGTCAGACTTCGTGAAGCTTGCATTCAACATCATTCAACTTTATTTTGACATAGATTTGAGCGAAGTGCTTCATGATTCTGACAGATATATATATATACATATGTATATAATAATGCTTTGAATTTGCCCAGGTGGCTCAGGATTGGCCAGCTGTGGTGGTGGCAGTTCATGAGCAGCTTGCCAAAGGAGACAAACCAGCGAAAAACTTTCATGCCTGCGAGACATAACTGCAAGAAATTGCGAACAAGTGTTCTGAGAGAGTGGAGGGATAGGAGGTCCCGGTATTGGACTTGGTAATTCGATCCGCAGCTGACCCTACAGGGTTGTTTGAACATGGTTAACAAGCATAAACTTTTGTTTACCTGAAGTAGTCTTGGGGACCAAGCCCCATAAGACCCAAGCTTCCAAGGGCCCTCCTCCATAAAGCAACTCTTTTTGGCAACCTCAGAAGAAGGAAAAGAGAAAGAGTAGAAACACTGACTAGTCTTGTGGACCAATCGTAGAGCAGGGCATTCTTTCTGAGGAACGTGTGTGCCATCTTAGTGGGCCATTCCTTCCTAATGTATTGCCTTTGCAGCTTGTGCACGAGAAACTCTAGAGTGGCCCATGTGCAATCTTACAATCCTAGCCTGTAAAACTCTACGGTGACCCATGTGCCATCATGTATACCTTGGTTACAAAATGTCACTGCTCGCTGACTGTCGAGGCTGTTGTTGAGGCTGTTGCCATGGCTCCTTCCGTATGTATAGCCCATGTGCCATCTTACAATCCTAGCGCCATTTTTCTTGTTTCTTTCGATGTGCCATCTTACACGTCGCAGGTTTGGTGCTACTAGGCTCTCCTGTTAATGAGGTCGTGGAACCTCCGGTGCCATCTTACATTCTTTTTACAGGGACCCCCTATAATTCCTTGCACACCACGAAGTGCACCTTTTCGAGGCTAAAAAGGGGTCTTCACGATTCATGTCAATAGGGATGGGGTCCCAGTATAGTCGCTATACAGGTACATGCCATATACTTTTGGCTCAAGTGCCCAACCAGGTAAAAAGGAGCTTTAGCGCGCGAGCTTCATGTTGACCTAAGAGCTAGAACGGGGCCAGGGCACACCTTTCCATCCGTTCGCAGGTTATCAGCCGTATCCAGACTCCTTTGAGCTGGGTACGAGCTGCGGCCTTACACAACACCATCTAAGCGCACACGCATCGGATAGACCAGTTACCCTCAGTCACTGAAGATGGACCAATCCGACGCCAGCACTGCATCTTTTGGAGCAGCTGCTGCGGCCGCAGATCGGATGAGTGCATCCCACAACTCTAGTCCTGGCACGATCGAAGTGGAGACTCTGACAGCGGTGAGAGAAGATGCGACAGGTAGAGCACGAAGTCGTTCCCCGTCAGCGCACTCGACACCACCGTGGGGGACACCGAGATCAGGCCGTAGCCCTAGGGAGACAAGGAGGAGGACTGACACCGGAGCTGTGAGAGTGTTAGCATTGCAGGATGGGTCAGCTGTACCAGTGCCGTCGGACAGCGAAGCTGGAGATCGAGCAAGGGCAAGCACTGACAACCTACAACTAGCACGGGCCGATGGAGACCTGAATGCGAAGTGTGCGCAACTACTTGCCGAAGTGCATATGTTGAACCACCAAAACGCATGGATGGTCGAATGTGAGCAGAGACAGAACCAGATTATACAACACGAGACCGAAGTCCACGAAGTAGTGATGGCACACCTCGAAGAATGTTATGTCGAAGGATATGGAAATCAACGAAGAATCACCCAACTTACAGAATCCAGAGACTGTTTGCTCTCAGCAGCACACGACCTGCAATACCAGATGGACACTGATCGTGTGGCAATGCGGGATCGTCTCACCCAGTTAGGGAAGTACGCTGATCGCAACAGCGCAGAGATGGTTAGTCAAGTTGTGAACATCGGCACGGAAGAGATCCAGGCTATATCGGCGGAAAGAGATCGAGCCGTAACCGAGGTCATGACTACAATCGCAGATGCTGAGAACGTCAAGGATCTATGTAGACAGGAGTTAGTTGGACTACAAAGGCAGAGTGCCAGAAACAAACACGAATATGCTGAAGAGATGAAGATGAGGGAATCAATGTATGCAAACAAGATCAAATGGTTATCAGAAGAGAATGAGGAGCTCAACAACCGATCTAATACTCAGGACAAGTTCATCTTGAGCATCAGAGAGCAATTGAAGAAGGCGAACGAGGAGTTGACTCAGACGAGGATTCAAGGATCCGATCGACCGTTTCAACCATCCAGCGCCGAACTCAAGAAGGCCGAAGTCAAGGTGAACATGTTGGAAGAGGACATTCTACGTAAAGAGAGGATGCTGAAACGTCTTCAGGAAGAATTGATCGAATCAAGCGCAACCAGTGTGGAGAATGAGATGATGACCAAGCTTAGAGCGGAACTTGAACGTACTGAAAAGTTATTAAGGTCCGAGGAGAAAGAGGCAATTGAGTACTACGAAGGTATGATGCAGAACCAACAGGACATGATGGAATTCGAAGCGCATGCGTCACGGCTCAGAGATGAAAGGAATAAGTACCGGAAGAGGTACGAAGAGGAGCGCACAAGTGCAGAGAATGCAGCCGCAACCGAACATGGTGCCGCTTCATCCTCTAGCTCAGGCGGCTCCAAGATATCTCGGAAGGAACACGAGAAGATCAACATCCCTGCATGGCCCAAGATACACGACCTGGAGGTTTGGAAATCCCAGGTTGTAGCGGCAGTCGTGACGGCATCGGGCGACGAGAAACAAGAAGATTGGATCCAATGGCTCTCGGATGCCTTCAGATCACCATATGACCCATTTCTACTCGAGACATCAGGCGAAGCAAGGTTCGCTAGCATAGATGCTAAGCTAGGTATCACCCTACATACGATCATCCACGCAGCAGGTGAGAGATCTCATGACGTACAACTGAAGGTGAGGCAGATGATGCAGAGACGTGCGAGAGGCACAACTCCTGGAATGGTCAAGGGACGAGAAATGTTAGCGTTGTTCGTCGACAGTTTCCGGAGTGCCGACAACGTTGATGTGATGTATGCATCCAAGCACTTATTCGATCTAAAGTTCCCTGGGGATAATCAACTATCCAGATTCCTTGGACAGTGGGATGAGATCATATCAGGTATGGATGCGGATGACATGCTTCCTGACAAAGCACTTCGCAACCTGCTTTGGGATAAGATTAAGGATTCCAAAGTTATGGCGTTAGACTTGTCTGTGTACGACAACATGTTGGATAAGGATCCGGATAAGACCTACCAGAAGTTACGAGAGATCATGACGAAGTGGATACGGAAATCAATTGAGACCACAAACAAGAAAGAGAGGGAAAAAGCTTTTGGGAACATCGTGAAAGCCACACCAGCGGCGGAGAAGAAGGACCCTAAAGCGAAACCCAAGAATACCAAGACCGATCCACCGAAACATGACGCCGCTCCAGTACTTCCTCAGGCTAATCCGAAGGACCACAACAAGAAGGACAAGAAGCAGGATCGTGGAAGATCAGCCACGAAGAGCCCAAAAGGGGATCGAGGCAGGTCAGCGACTCCAGCAGATACGTCCAAGATAGGATGCGCTTTCCACTTCCATGGAAAAAACGGATGTTCTAGAGGAGACAAATGCAAGTTTAGTCACCAAGAGAAGCACAAGAGTTCTGCTAAGAAACCGGAAAACCTCAAGGGTGACAGATCAAAGAGTCCCGGTGACAGGAGCAGTAGCCCTAAGCCAATGAAGGATCAGGTCTGTTGGAATTGGCAGAAAGGATCGTGCAAGTTCGGGGACAAATGTCGACGTCAGCATCACGCTGCTCCTGCTACAAAACAAGAGGCTAGAGGCAAAGCCAAGCCCAAACCGGCTGCGCCAGCCTTCATGCTTTGCGGAGACATCGAGAGTGATGACGAGGACGTACAACCCGCACTTCCCAACGTACAACAAGGTAAGCTGGCGCTTCGCTTTAAAGTCAGATTCGATGACCAGGCGAATGTGACCACGTTCACCTGCGATCCTGGTAATGAGCTAAACAACCGTCCCCTCAGGAAGAAGAGGAATGAGGTGCAGAAGGTGGATACCGAGCTCATTTCGTCGTTGAGAGCCCTCAGAGTGAGCAACATAGCTGCACGAGTAGCACATGCCAAAGGTAAGATGATGGAGCTATTCTATGCTGAACACATTGCCAAGGCATGGATACAAATCACTCAAGATGAAGGAATCGAGGTGAACGTCGACCTGTCTGATTTCAACACCAGAGAGGTAGTAAGGAAGGATTTTGTCGACTACACGATACCAGGAACCACGATGTTCATGGCTGTGGAGAGGTATGATGGACCACCAATACGCTTCATCATGGACACGGGATGTGGACACGATTTGATGTCAAGAGAGAAGGTCAATGCCATGGGCCTTACCACCAAGGAAGGACCCAAATCCGTGAGCTTCATGACAGCGAATGGTGTAACTAGTACATCAGAGATGGTGGACATCAATGTGGACGAACTACCCATGAGGTCCGAGGCACACGTGTTGGAAAGCACACCATCAGTCTTTTCCATTGGGAAACGGTGCATGGAACAAGGGTACTCATTCATATGGCCGGCAAATCAATTGCCATACCTCATCGACCAGAACGCGAACAAGATTCCGCTATCGGTGCATGACAACATACCCTACATCAAGGTGAATGATGATGACGGGAGATGTTTACCAAGACCAGACGGCTTGGCTACGATACTGCATCGCATACTGTCAGGTGTGGGGCATGAAGACGAGGTCACAACAGGTCAGGAGACACAACAAGAGGAACTTCCGCCCAAGAAACCACGGAGACGGAGGAGAAAGAAGAAAGATAACCAGAAAGGTCAGGGTGGTGAATCTGATATCAATCCAGCTGTTGCAGGCGTCGAAGGAGAACCAGAGGAACACGGTGATGACAGGTATTCTCCTGAAGAGGAATATGACGGGGAAGACCCGAGATTCGATCGTGATCACGAAGGTCAACCTGAAGAAGCCGGAGACGACGAACATGGAGGTGATGCGGATTCTGAACGAGGAGAGAGTGACATTGATGAAGATGAAGAGGGACTATTGGAAGTCGATGTGGTTGACGGGGAAACCAGACTATCAAAACCAGGAGTGCTG